TATGGGACTACTGGGATGAGCTTTTGTCACTATTAAGAGAGGTGCATTTCACCATCACTCATCAATTCCGCGAAGGGAACACTGCAGCTGACTTCCTCGCTCGACGGGGAGAGGAGGGTAATTCTATCACATTTCTGGAGTTTATGTCGTTACCCAGGGAGTTGAAAGGCATACTTCGGATGGACAAGGCGGGTGTGCCTCAGCTCAGGCGTTTAACTTGAGTTTGGGAGGCTGGTTCTTGATGGTTTCTTTCCTTTTTTTCTTTGGTTTCGTTTTGAGGTTGAAGTGTTCCAGTTGGTTTTTCCAGTGTTGTTCCACGGCTTTCCTCAGCCAAAAGTGAGGCTTGGTAATAAAATTGGGAGGAAGGCACAATAAGGTGACTTTGTCCTTTAAAAAAAAAAAAAAAAAAAAGAATGACTGTTTCTTCATGATAAATAATCATTCCTTATGAAAGAATGACTGTTCTTAGGGATGAACGAGCTATTCCTTATGAAGGAATGATCATTCTTAGGGATGAATGACCGTTCCTTCATAAGGAATGACTATTCTTTATGAAGGAACAACCGTTCTTAGGGACAAACTCATTCGCATAAAGAATGATTATTCCTTCTTATGGAACAACCATGACCATTTCATAAGAAGAGACAATCATTCCTTCAATCCTTCTTATGGAATGACTCCTTTATAAATAATGGATGTTCCTTATGAATGAATAGTCATTCGTCCATAAGGAACGATCGTTCCTGATAAATGATTGGTCATTCGTTGTTAGAGTCATGAAAATGACTCTATTTTGGTGATAAAAAGACTCTATGTGTGATTAAAATGAAATCATATTGATATAATTAAGAGAAATTATGAATTTATGTATAAAAATCATATTTTGAGGTTTTCTTACTAATTTGACATGTTTGGATTGAAATTTGAGATTGTGTAAGTTGATATTAGAATGTGATTTATTTTCTAGGGTTGATGTTGTCTCATTTATGCTATTCAGGGGTCAAATTGTCATAAAACTTGGGGTTGATTTTGTCACTTTTCAATTATGCAGGGACAAATGGAAATTTACCACATTTTGTACAAAAAACGAAGCGAAAGGTCGCAAACAAGGGCCAACCGCGAAGGGACCTTCACCCATCGCCGGAGTTTGGTCGTCGGCCGACGACCTTTCATCTTCCAAGCAGGCGATGCTTCACTTTCTCCAGTCGATCGGCCACCTTCCACTGCCATTCAAAGCATGCCGGCGACGTACGCTTCCTACCGTCACTCATCCTCATTTTTCGGTGACCTTTGAGCTTCTCCAGCATCGATCCAGCTTCTCCTGGTGCTAACCACCCTTCCCACAGTTAGATCTACCTTCCATCTTGCCAAATCGCCGCCATTCAGTCGCTATCTTGCCAAATCGTTGCCGCGCCTCTTTATCTTCCAGCCGTGATTTCGCTCACTTTTCGATGACATCTCACCTTCCAACCAGCGGATCCATCATCTCCATCACCTGATCTATCTTCCTGTACCCTTGGATCTCCTCTTCGTCGATTGCCACCGTGAACCGCCGTCGGATTCTGGTGAGTTGCGTCTGTTCATCTTCCAGGAGTTCCCTTGGTCATTTTCATCCCTTCTTCGCATCATCTCATCGTCAGTTACATTCTCTTCACCATGACTAGCTCCGTTCCCGACATTCTAGCCTTCGTCGACATTACCATGAGCGGTTGAGCTCCTAGTTGCCTGTTACAGTGTAGGCGAGATCATGATCAACACTCATGGATCTTCTCGGCAGTTCTCGACTAGTTGGATGGCCCGAATGTTGGATATTTGATTAAGTTTCTTGTATTCAGATTATATTTGTTTTCGTTTTAGTTTGTTTGCGATGCTTTAATATTATCCTGATGCTCGATGTACTGAATTGATAATGTCCATTGAGAACGTTTGTTGATTTATAACTTTTTGCATAATTGAATGTCAGTTTGAGATTATTGAATGTTGATTATGACTTTAAATTGTTTAGGTACTGATTGCAATCAAGTTGTATTAGCGTTTAATATCATTTCTACTAGGAATACATTTGTTGTGTAATTAGTTGGTTGGATGATACAAGTTGATAGGTTGTACTTGTTAACATTGTACCAACTAGTGGTGATTAACAGTTTAGCATTTTTCGGTTAGTCAATGATAGTCTTTAACCAATCGATCTGTAACTAAGACGATGGGAAGACATGATAGATTATACTTGTATTGCTGGAAGATGTTTTTATTGATTTGCCTAGCTTTGTAGGTTTAGGAAATTGAAGAGCGAGGAGATGAATTGTAGAGCGAGGAGAGGAATTGTGAGAGTTGGTCTTGAGTCAAACCCAATCATAGTGGCAACACTTTTAATATTGTGTTTTAGTTAACAATTTATTTGATGCTTTTAATTTCCTGCAATTAATTAGTTTCCTTAGTTTTAATCAATCAATTTGTCAATTTCTCTTTCGTTAACTCAAATATACATTAAGTCATTAGTCTTACTCTCTGTGGATTCAACCTTGCTTACCGCTAACTACGGTATTTAGGTTTAATTTTGTGGTCGTAATGACCGGTTCGACATTCGTTCCTAAGAAACGACTATTCATGTTTAGTAAAAGTTGTCCAGTTAATGTGTTAATGTCAACTCAAGTGCTACGTCAGTTTGTAAGATTTGTTTTTTAGGATAGTATCATTGCCCGGTAGGAAATTGAAGTTGGAATTTAGAACGTGTATAAGAATTTTCTTTCTATCTCTATTCCATTATTTATTTAATATAATGAATACGTTGAAACTTAAGTCTTATTATTTGAGTTTATCCTTTTATCTTTTAATAATATATCTTTTTCCTTTTTTACTTTATTCCCTTCCATCATTTCTTTTTAAGTCCCATTTTGACTTTAGAGAAACTAATCCATTTTATTACAAAACTAAATCGGGCTGATATTTCGATCAAAATTACTATGTAAAATATTCATTTTCTTTATTCCATTCGTATAATATTTGAATAAATAAAGAAGATTTTCTTCTATATCTATATAATCCATGTTATTTAATTCCAGTTTTTTCATGATACCTCCTTGCATGTTTAGTTCACCAGTTCTATTGGGATCACCTTGAGACGATTTATCCAATGATGTCAGTTGTAAGTTTGTCGAATGCTACATTCTATTACAAAACTTTAGGCAAAGTTTAGGTCTACTTTCATCGGCTTCCTATGGTGAAGTGGCACATTCGATGGTCGTACCACCAACACTGTTTAATAGATTACCAAATAGCGATTCCAACAACTCACAACGCCATTGTCAACTTTTAAATTATTAAATCATTAATTTTATTGAAATAATTTATATAAAATTTCAAGATATTTAGGATCCGTTTGGTTCACTCTTGGGAATACTATTATTAGTATTCCCAATAAAGTTAAACAGTAAAAATAATTTATTCTCAAAATATTATTCTATATTATTCAATTTCTTTTAAATTCTTTAAATTTGTTAATTTAACTAAATACCCTCAAATATTTTTTTTAGAAATTGCAAAAACACTCCGGCCACTCTCTAGCGGTGGTGGCCGGCTGTCCGTATTTAATGGGTGGATTGAGAGTGTTTTTGTTAACTTTTAATATTTTATTATAAGGGTGTTTAGTAAATAAACAAACATAGGTGTATTTTTGTTAATTTTCAAATTCCACATCGTAATACTCGCCCAATTTTATTTTTTTCAAAATATTATTCTAAAAACTACCAGAATAATGAACAAAACGGACCCTTAAACTTTAATTATTTGAAATTTCGATAATTAGTGTTTATTTATAATATTAAAGCTTTTATTAAAAAATTTGAAGCGAGTAATTTTGTCCAAACGTTTAAAGATGTAATATATTGGATTAATAATGTATGATAAAAAATAAACATAAGAATCATTATTTCATTCCCTCTCCATTCGTTTCTGATTCTCATTCTATGAAGTAAACATGGTACATGCCTCAGGTGGAAACTGATTTTTGAACTTGAGATTGAAAACTAACTTATAAATATTCAAGTACTTCTATCATAAATCTAGATCAATTTATTTAACCACTTTATTGATGCGATTTTTCGTAGCAACGAGAAGTACATAAATCTCGTGAGAAAATCTATGTAAGAGTTTGTAATAAATCGGTTTAATGTTGAAATAATACTAAAATGATAAATAAATACTAAGAACAAAGAATTTTTAAAATGGTTTGGATGAAAGACATAAATCTTATGTCCATTATTATTTATTGCTTTTCTTTGTGTATTTTACAAGTATGAGCGAGTTGGGCACTCAATATTGGTATAGTGTATATTATTTCTCAAAACAAAACCCTCAATTAGGGTGAGAAATCTCTTTATATACTATTACATTAATGAACTTACACCGGAAGTAATTCTCATGCAGTGCGACATGTGACCTAGATCACAACTTGAAATCTTATTAATGAAGCAATTTTTTGTAGTTTTACACATGTAGTAACTCTTCCATGAGATGACACGTGGTATGAGTGATTATATATAAATTGATGCTTTATAAGTGAAATACTCTTTTAAAAGAGTGACCTGATGACAATGCATCTCTATGACACGTGGTGTGAATCCATACATAATGGATTTACCACATGCACAACACACTTATTTAAGGCTATGTCTTTCTAAGAGCATTTTTGCTCTTTATTTTAAAGAGTATATTTCCTATAAATAAAGAGTATCTTTGTTGATTTTTACATATAAAGAGCAAAAATTTTATTTAAGTCCAATGGATTCTTTAAATTTTAATTCTTTATTTTGAATTTTCCCATAAAGCATTTATTATGATTTTAATTTTTTCCCTCTTTTCTTTTTCCTAATTTCCCTCTTTATATTTCATTACTTTCTCTCCATTTTTCTTTGTAAGTTAAATTGTTCCTTTTATATTCAATTGATCAATTCCATCTTCTCCTGCACAATCTTTCCACCTCTTTTCCTTTCCATTACGTCATGCTTTTTATTAGTTTAGTCAGTGTTATTCTTGATGATTCCGATTCAGATGATGATTTGGAGTTGACAATATCTGTCATAGGAGAGTTGCTTAATAAAAGAAGGAGGACATCACCACATCGCGGTTCAGTTTATGGTCATGCCTATATATGGCGTGATAGAGTTCATGGGCATCACAAGCTTTTTCATGACTACTTTGGAGAAAATCCTGTATATTCTCCAAATTTATTTCGAAGGAGGTTTCGAATGAGTCAATCTCTTTTTCTTCGTATTCAATCTGCTGTAGAAGCTCATGACCCATATTTTGTTCAAAAAAGGGATGCTGTTGGATTTTTGGGTTTGTCTTCTCTCCAAAAAATCACTGCTGCATTAAGGATGCTTGCATATGGAGTTGCGGCAAATTATGTTGATGAATATGTAAGGATTGGTGAAAGCACTGCAGTTGAAAGTCTTAAAAAATTTGTTAAAGCAATAGTTTCAATTTTTTCGAAGAAGTACATGACGCCACTTTGGTTTCTTGATTCAATTTGAGCATAGCATCCACAAATTTTTTTTTGTAGCAAGTTGAATTGTTGACCAACGGTTCATCAAAGAAACTTGTGTACATTCAGATTCAAAATTTTTGTATTTATGGAAGTACTCCCACAATCGTGCCCAATATGTTTTGAGTTTCTGTTCATTTCCTTTCACAACATCTAAACTAGTATTAAGCCATGCTGACATGATAAGAATGTCCTCTTCTACAGTAAAGTTGCCGCCACGTGATCTTTTAGAGTTAGATTCAACTGGAGTAGATAAATAAGATTCTTCAGTAGTGGTGAAAATAGATATATCATCAGAGTTTGACTCTTATAAAGAGCCATTTGAAGATGTTCTAAGGATTCACAAAACGGCGTTTAGCCGGTTGCCCTTCCATCTAATTTTACAGCGTGGCATAAAAGGTTTTGCCCATCTGCCAACTCATCTCATATTGCTCCTTTCATTGGCTGCTTCATATCCACAGAAGATTTCCTTTTATTTATTCTTTCATTAATTAATTAATTAATTTCATTTGTAGCTTCCCGCAATTTCAACCCCTGTCACCCAATTCCGTCAACAAAATCTCTTCCGACAAGTTTCAATTCCATACAACATACACTTTAAACTACCATGTTCTGATCATTTATTTATAATTAATGGCTTCAGTCTCCAGACCCACAGCACCACCGCAGGTTCACTGCGTCAAGAGCTCTTCCTTCCTCACCTGCTTCAATCATATCCCGTCCCATGGAATGCCACATGTACGTGCCGTGAAAATTGCATCCGACGGTGCTAGTACCAGAGTGGGGATTGATCAAGGGGTGTACGTTCCTGATTTGCTTCGAAAGCCAGTTGCTTCTCTATCAGATGATAAAAGAGGAGATGAAAGAGGTAGGTCCCGGAAGGTTGATTGGGAGGATCAGATACTGAGTGATACTGTGCCTCTTGTTGGGCTTGTTAGAATGATCCTTCATTCTGGAAGGTAATAATTTATTCTAATTGATTTATGATTTTAATAAACTTGTATTGTTTATGTTCTCTTATTAATAATTTATTTATCTGTAATAGATATAAGATTGATGATAGATTAAGTCCTGAGCATGAAAAAGTAATTGTGGAGAGGCTGCTTCCATATCATCCAAATTATTTCGAAAAGACTGGTTGTGGAATCGATCACATCATGGTATGTTTTTTGTTGCTTTGGAATTCTAGCTATATAAATTGTTTGTTTGATTCACACTCAGAATATTTTTGTTAAAGTATCTCATAATTCTCAAACTAATTTTCAGATCGTGGACTAATTCCGTATAACATAGTATTTTATGGTTCGAGTAGGATTTATGTACCTGTAATGCTCTGTAGCTCAGTAAGCCTCTGTTCTGCTCTTTCATGAACAATGCCTAGACTTAGGTAGTGTTTGTAAATACACTTTAGATACCTGGAAATTTCACGTACTTGATAATCCTTAAACTGTTATATATCTTCTTCCGAAAACTGATTGAATTGTAATTGGGATTCATCTAACTCTTTAACTTTACCTTATCTCTAATCTTAATTGAATTGGTAGTTCCAAAGTGACTGAATACAAATTTTCGTTATCTTAAATTTGTTTGGGTATCAAAACTAACGCTGTTCATATGTTTGCTCAATTATGAGCTTCAGAAAGATATTGACAGATTGGTTTTCTCATTGGCTAAACATGAAATCTGCATAATAACTGTTTTTCCAATACTTTCATGGGATGTGACAGGTGAGCTATCATCCCGATTTCGAAGGAACTCGTTGTTTATTTATAGTTCAGAAAGATGGAGAGATGGTTGACTTCTCATATTGGAAATGTATACATGGCCTGATCAGAAAGAAGTATCCATTACATGCTGAGAGTTTCATCCTCAGACATTTTCGACGAAATTGGCGTAGGGGATGAACTCTATCTCTATGATCCTAACTATTTTGGGTTTGTGTATAGCTTTCATTTCTCCATGATCTGTAATTGGAAGCGAAGATTAAAGATTAAGCAGCACTTTTATATTTAACAGTTACTGAAAGTGTATCTGGAGATTGGTTTCAACTTTTAGACATAATTAATATGATTGTATCAGAAATAGTAACATATATAAACATTATTTTAGGTATCCTTTCATGGATCAAATTCACTATAACTTTTCAAACAGTACTGAAAATTCTGAAGTAATATGTATTGAATTGAATCATCAAAATATTTTGATGATGTTGTTTCAATGGTTATGGGTAGATGATAGATGAGTGATGGTGTAAATGGTACACCACTTACTCGATGTTGTGTTTCTCTTAACTATAGATGGCGAGTGAAATGATTTCACTTGCCGCTTGTCGCCGATGACATGTCGCCTAGGCCTCGTGGTTCTTACAGGTAAGAAAGGTAGTCGAAGGAAACTTTAGGGGAAATGGAATGGCCTATAATTATCAATAAATATATTACATTTCACCCTTTGAAATACCAAATCAAGAACCAGTAGAACCACCACCGGGTGATCGAGTAGTTAACTAGAATTCTTGGGTTTTTTATTCAAGAGGTTAGACTTACCCAATTGTTAATTTTAATGTCTTAGAGGATTAGTTAAGGTGCATGTAAGTTGGTTCGGACACCTCCGATCAACCAAAAAGAAAAACAAAAATACCAAAAAAAGAAAACAAAAATAGAAGATTAGATAATATTTATATTATAACTCAAACACCCCCAAAACCAGATTAAGGCTATTCTATCCTTCTATGCTAATCACTTATGATTCTAAGCTGAAATAACATAGTAAGTTACTCAATATTTATTAAACTATAAAATGGTGGACTATTCTTTCTTTTTTCATCTTTATGGGGCCGTTTGGATCCGGGATAAATAAGATAAGGAGGGTAATATTCGTTTATTTTGCAAGTAATAAAATATTACGGTAATCTTTTATTGCAAATAGGGTTTGGATCATTTAATGTTTTATTATAAGAGGATATTATATTAACGGAATAAAAGATCACTTTGAAGATTACTGGGAATGTTTAGAAAATGTGTTTGGTTGGTTCGAATATATTGGTGAATAATATGTTTGGTTGGAAGGATAAATGGGTAGGTATGTTCTATAGATTACTAAATTGCCCTCCTTTTTAAATATTAATTTAAGTATGTATTTTTTGTTATTATTTTTTGAATAATTTCTTTTAACCCCCTACTTTTCAGATTGAGCAAAAACACCCTAGCAACCAAAAACGTTTTAAACTTAACAAAAACATCCCTACCCACCCCAAGCCACTACTGACAATGCCATAGATCTGGTCGTGAAACGTCGGTAGTTTCACGGCCAAAGACCTGGTTGTTTCATGGCCAGATCAGTCGCCGTTTAACAACCACATGCTTGGTCGTGAAATGGCCATAGATCTGGCTGTGAAACAGCCAGATCTAACTTTTTTCGACCATGGATCTATGATTAGGAGTGTTCAAAAAAATGCAAAAACCGAACCGAACCGAAAAACCAATTAACCGAAAAAACGGTTCGATTACAGTTCAAGAAATTCAAAAAACCGAATTTTCGGTTCGGTAAGCGGTTTGGGAAAAAATAAAAACCGGTTAACCGTAACCGGTTTATATATATATATATATATTAAATAAAAATAATAATTATATATTAAATAAAATAATAATAATTTAAACTAAATCCCTAAAAAAATTGTTAGTAGTGGTCAATGGATATATATGAAAGTTAACTTTTATTTGGATATGTATTATTTATGTTTACAATTTAATTTAGGAAAAATTTTTTAAAAAAAAAGTTTTATCCAATAAAAAAGGGGAAAACCGGTTAACGGTTTTTTTTAAAGTGGTTAACCGGTTTTTCGGTTAACCAAAAAACCGGTTTTCCCCTAAACCGGTTCGGTTTTGGTTCGGGAATTTTCCCAAACCGAAAAACCGGTTCGGTAACCGCTTTATCTGTGATCCATGGTCGGAAAAAGCCTCACCGACGCACGGTCAGCCATATACGGCCAGTCGTATGCCATTATGGCGACTTTTGGCAACCTTCGGTGGCGATCAACAGTGGTTGCCGGTGGTGACTAGTTCTGGGTATAAAGACATTTATATGAATAATGATAATAACAAGGGCAATGTCGTCCGAAAAATTTAAAAAGCGAGGATAAAAGTTTCTGCATGAGTGATTGGGTGTTTTGTAAATATTAGCAAATATAAGGTTAATTTGGACCAAATGTTTAACTGTTTAGGGGTAATATGGGAAAAAAAATATTGTAATACCAAGGTAAGTTTTAATAACAGCCCTCCCTTAGGTATTAAGATTACCGAAAATTTACCCCCCCAAATGCTACTGTTTGTCATAAAATGTTCTAGGAATAATTTTTTACAAACCAACCAAACATCGTTATCTGCTCAATTTAAAAAATATTACCCTAGTTATCTAATATTAACCCGATCCAAACAGCCCCATAGTGGTTACTGTTGGTAATATGGGGGGTAATCTTATTACCTTGCTAGAGGTTGTTATTAAAACATTACTGGGGTAATATGATTTTTCTTCCCATTTTGCCCTTAATTAAAAACAATTTCGGATACAATTGCTCTCAAATGTCTACCAAATAACAATTATCCAGCCCCCTTATATTTGAGAAATTAGCTAAAACACCCAAATCACAAAAAAGTTTAAAAGTTAACAAAATATCCCCAGCCACCTAAGACCACCGCCGCCCATGACTCACCATCGTCTGCCGCCAGCGTCAATCGTTGTAATGGTGCATGACCAATGGGATCTCGCCGGTCGTGTGCCGGTAAGGCCTTTTCCCGCCATGGATCTGTTGAAAACGACCAGATTTTGAGTTTCTATGGCCGTTTCACGGCCAAAGATGATATGGCCGTTTCACTACCAGATCTATGGTCATTACACAACCACATCTTTGGTCGTGAAATGACCATAGATCTAACCATGAATTTGTGATCCATGGCTATAGATCTGGTCGAGAAAAGGCCATGTATTTGTGAT